AACGGGTTGAGGTAAACAGTGCTGCTTCTTCCTCCTCGGTCCTCTCGCGGCATTTCTTAACTCCATCCAGGGCTTCAGCAGCCTCTGGCATAGGGTAGAGCTGCTTGCAAAATGCCTCCACCTGCCTCAGCCTCCACCCTCCAAAGAGTCAACAAACAGTAAATGAAACACAGCAATAGGTGCCTTCTCAGCCTTCAAGCTCTAATTCTCTCCATTCTTCCCTCATTGTCCTCAGCAGAAAGGTCCAGATCCTTGGTTGCCCAGACCTGGCATTCTCAAAACTGAGGAGGAAGCAAGCCAGAGCCCAGGGGCAGGCACCCCACTTTCACAAGAGCACCCCAAAGCTCTAGTCATTGCTGTGTCCTCTCGTTGAACTTGAGGGGCTCTGCTGGCGGCCTCTGCACTCAGGAGGCCGGGTCCTTCGCTTCCTAAGCATGAGGCCACAGGCACGCAGAAACCAGACTTTTTGCTTTGTTTTCAACAGTTTAATGAATTGACTCTACATCATCAGTTTTCTTAAACAAGGGTGTGTTTCATAAGGCGTTTTGAGTCCTTTGGCATAATTGAGCATACACACAGCCCTGGGCAGGATACAGTTAGGAGTAGCTACTTTGGATTTTTTTTTTAAATGTGACTAGGGTGCTTCTATTTACAAATTCGAGCATCCCATAGAAAACCCCAGATATCTCACGTGTCCTCAACAATTAGAAAATCTGCAAGCTGGGGCCTACTGCTGCCCTCTGGGACTCACCAGGTGAGTTCCTGTTTGTACCTTTCTGGATACTTTATTACTTGTCTGACCCCTCTGGGCATTTGCATTTGAATTTATATTCTGTTGCTGCCAAGATAGCTCTCCTAATTTTGAAAAATCAGTCCTCCAAATTACGCAAAAAAAAAATTTTTTTCTCCTCTAAAGTGTTTCGTCCCAACTTCTGTGACCGGCTGCAAGAAAGAAAGACGGGAGGCAGAAAGGCTGAGCAGTTTATTGCTCTCGGACAGCAACTGAGACAGAACCCCAGAGTAGGGTCCGCAGCTACTGCCACCCTATAGGGGGGAAGGGTCTCTTATATAGACTTTAAACTAAAATTCCAAAGGGGTGATTCATCACTATGTCCCTTGATGTAAGGCCCAGTTTGTTATCACCTTTATCTAGTGCCATCGTGGATGCAAGACCCTGTTTTAATTGGATGCAAGGCCCGATTTATTACTGCCTTATCACCTTTGGATGCAAGGCCCGATTTATTACTGCCCTTATCCAGTCCCTCAGTAAATCTCCGCATTTGGTCACTCCCAACATAAAGAACAAGACACAGGTGATGCAAGGGGTTTAAGCGCAGCACTATGAAGCTACCCACAGCCATTGCGTTAGTTTGATCCCCGGCCAGAGGGGACTGTGCCCACATGGCACACCCACTGCTCCTCCCGCAGTGTAGTTCAGTCAGTCTACCTGTTCTGCTCCCCATTCTGTCTCTGGTGAACCCTCTCACGTCCTGCACCTCTGGCCTGAACCCCAGCTCTTGAAGGCATAAATAAATCTTAAAAAAAAAAAAAAAAAGAACAAGACACAGAAAAACAAGTTCTGACAATGATTCCATCAGAAGGGAACAGAGACGAGTTTCTTTTTCTCCCCGAAAGTGTGCTGGAGGGTGCTCGGCCCGCAGGTGAGCCCATTTGACAGTCTTGTTCAGGAGAGCCACTTGTGTGGCAGGCACAGTATCGCACGGCCCTACTGGTGTGCTTCAGATTTCCAGCGTGAATGTCTGTGTCACCCGTCCTAGTTCCAGGTTGGCAGGTGATGGAGACACTTCCTGAGAGGCTTCAGAGCGTCCCTGGGCCCCCACTCTGTAGCTGCTGACCTCAGGGGCTCCCCTGATCTGTGGCCATGGCTGGAGCTGGCCACTGTGGTGCAGGGCCAGCATATTGCCGCCTGACTTGGGAGATGGGTCCTGCGGACCCCGTAGTGTTTGCGCGGTGCTGCAGCGGCCGAGGCTGCTACTGAAGGATTAAGTGCTTTGCCCTCCGTCCTCTTAGCAACGGAGCCGGACTGGGCATCTGCATCCACCTCACCCGCCCAGAGCTGCTCCTCACAGCCTGCTCGGTCCCTCTTACCACTCAGGGGACACAGTTCTCTTCCCTGGAACAGCAATAAGCCTGTAGCGAGGGGCTCTCACCTCAGGACAGTGTGAGCCGGTAAGTGAATAGGGTTTGTATACTTAGCCATGGTTTGGCCATGTTGGGTCCTTTATCAGTTATTTCTCTGCGTGCTGTGTACGTGTGTCCTTTTAGAACTGCCCTGCTGGACACTCCAGGGCTACAGATCCAGCCTAATAGCCCTGGTACTGACTAGGGAATTCTCACCCAGAAAATAGCTAGACACTTGACGTGGGTGCTCGCGCCTCGTGTATGTTTGGTTGTGATTGTTGAGCTACTCGGGATCCCTCTCCTGGTTTTCAGCACTCGGCAGTAGCCAACAAGAGACCTTGCCGTCTGCTCACTGAGCCGCAGCTGGCGGGCTCCTGTCCTTCCAAGTCCCTGCTTCTCACACCTTCTATTTTCTGTTTGGCTTTCGTTTGCTTTTTCTGAAAGAAATATTTCAGTTGTCTTTAAAGCATTTTATTATCCGCTAATGTACTTGACTAATAAGAGCGTTTTTATTTCTGATTGTACTTTTTCTTCACATCCTCCTCTCGTTTCATGGCCATGCGTGTTTGCTCTGAGAATACTATTTATAGGTGGTTTGTGTTTGTTTGCTTTTTCATTTTCCTTTTCCCACATTATTCCTGTTTCCTCTGGGAGTCTTGTTTTTTTTTTTTTCTTTTTCTTTTTTTCCCTTTCAGGGATCCTTTTTATCCTGAATTTCTCTTCATAGTTTACACTTCTCTTACATGTTTTGTGATTCTTGGTCTGTTTAATTTTGAACTTTTCATTTAAAAGCGAAGCAGCGTTAGGCTTGCCAAGGTGTTTGCTGCACAGGTCCACTGGGGCACTGGTACAGGCTCCGCTCCGGCCCAACGCCCCGAAGGAGGCCCTGGCACAGCAGGTCCCGTGAGGGTTCTGTCTCCAGTGAATGTGACGCTGTGTTTACGCTACTGCACGTAGCCTGTTAAGTGCGTAGTAGCTTCGTGTCTAAACAAAACAGTGCACACACCAGGCCAGCCAGAGTGAGCACGTGCTTGGAGACCAGCTCAGCTCTGGGTGGCTGCACACCTTCGGTGCACAGAAGCCCAGTCGCTGCCAGGGTGCTGCAGTGAACTGCAGTGAAAGTTCAACCTGCACCTTGAAACGCCTGGCCAGCTCATCACTCACTTGGCAGGAGTGGACAGAACGGCACGACGGTGGAGTCCCTCAGCACAGCGGCAAAGACGTCCTGCTGATGCCTGGACTGACGCCGCTGCTCTGGTCTCCTTGGCCACTTTTTCATGACCTCAGGGAGATCCTCTCTTTTCTGAAGCAGAGGCACATCTGGGCTGACTTTAACTTCAGCCCCACAAAGCACTGCTCCTTCGTGCTCGCAAGAGGCTTGCGGTGGTACCATTGTCCCCCACTGCTGGGTTCCCCCTGGTGTCGTCACCTCCCTGCTACCTTCCTGCCTGCATCTCCCACAACATACACACACACACACACACACACACACACACAGCAATTCCGTGCACTTGGCACCACCTCAAGTATTCAGCATATACTTATACATGCAATTTTCACGGTATACTTGGGAGGAAAATAAAAGTTATCCCCTCTTTACAGATGAGGAAGCTGAAGCCCAGAGAGTAAGGTCACACAGTAACTGGCAGAGCTGGGATTCAGAGCTAGTCTTTGCTTCTCCCCAGGGACTTCCCTGAGTGTAATGCACCGGTGAGACACCCCCTCCCCCAGCTCAGAACAGACCCGTCATGTGCGCCTCCCCATGTCAGTTGGAAGACTCCCTCCTCGCCACTGATATTCTTGCTTGTGCAGTGGTATCTCTGCTTCTTCTCCTTGTAGTCCCCCTTCATACAGCAGCTAGAGAAATCTTCCTAAAATTGCACACTGGATCATGATGAAAACATTTCAGCGACTTCTAATCTCAACCCCATTAAACTCCAAAGCCTTTGGATGGCGTGAGGCCCCGTGTGATCCTTCCAGCCCTCCTGCTGGCAAGCTCGTCCCTGTGAAGGGCTTCTGCCCTTGGTCTCGCTCGCTTTCACCTGGTCTCATCAGTCAGGGTCAGCTCAAGTAACAGCCCTGCTGCACGGACACACTCTTGAGCAGACTGACTTATTCTAGCCTCGGAAGTGCATATGGGGGCCTTAAGTTTCTTGTTTGTTTATGTGCCTGTGTCTCCCAGTGAGGGTAGGGGCTCAGACTCTCCCTCTTGCCCTGTTTTCACTGCTGCTGGTACACATTTTCACTTTCACCAGAAATTTGGAACCTTTTGTCTGCCAATGGGCTCTTCCCGCTGTAGCCTTTATGGTGTTGGTTAGATTTCAGGTAGCCGTGTTTTCTTTGCAGTGTTTCTAATCACATCCATCAACTTTCATACTGTTTCTTACTCTCTTTTTCCCTCTCCTTATACTGTCTGAATTTATATTCAGTAGAAACTTTATACCTCAGTTGTAAATGCATGAGACAGCCATTTCTGACTTGTGCTTGTTGGAAATAAGTGGCTGTAAATTTCACACCATGCGGATCACACTAAACAGTCACTCCAGGCATCACTTCAGATTGCCCCAAATTAAGCTTTATGCAACTGTGTTTTTGTATTCTAGTAGTATTTGAGAGTTGATAAACGTATCCTATTCAACTTGGAGCCTGTCACTTGGAAACTAACCCTTGAAATGGACCCCTGAAGCGAGGCAGCATTGTCAGCCTGCTCTGGTCTGCATCAGGCAGCTTGGGGGGGGGGGGGAACCACGCTGTATAGTTCCTTGTCTCTCCACCGCCTTTTCCACGATGATGCAGACACTGGAAGGCACGTGTTTGGGTAACTTGAGCATCGTTTGAAATTCTTCTCACCTAGGGCTGACGATGGACATCTCCTCATGTCTGAGACGGCCATTCCGGATGGTGGGCACTAAAAGGATGATGGCTTCGAATTTCCGGTGGCTCCTGTCAGCATTTATCCTTCTGTATTTAATGAAGCCAGTAAATAGCCATAGAATGGGTAAGTGCATCAGCGTCGCAGAGAATGAACCATCAAAGTGTTGTTATCATTTTGATTTTGAAGTGACTGTCAGTCAGGTCTTTGTGTGCCCAAAATCTTGGTTACCCTTTTTCTGTGTATTTTTGGTGTCTTCTGAAAGGCTTTTAAAGATAGATCTCAGTAAGTACTGTACCCCTATTTAAGGAAATTAGGTATAATTTACAAAGAGAAAAATTCACCCTCTTGGAGTGAAGCTTGGAGTCTTGACAGATGCATTCTGCAAGGTAACCACCAGCACAAATAAGATGCAGAGTGGTCCTGCCCAGAAAGAGTCCCCGGAGCACCTGTCACCTGCCCCTTCTGTCCCCGCCAACACTGAGCTGTTTTCTCTCTCTATGATTTTGCCTTTCAGAATGTCATCTAATGAAATCTGAGTGTCTTTCTTTAATAATATGTCGTATTCTTCTTACTTAACCATGTCAGAATATTTTATAGATATCACCTAGCTTGTCTGTATAAAGAATGTTATCATTGCTCTATCATAGAATAGTTTGTGCATTATTTCAGTAATTGAAGAGATCTTTTTTTTTTCCCACCAAGATCACTTTTAAATAATTTTTAGTTTGATTACTGGTGATTTCTGATATAAATGCTTCTAGTAGTTTTGTTTTCATTTTACATAAATAGTTTTCTAATTTATTGCTGTAGTGAATGTTATGCCAGCCAAATGTGAACATTAGAGGAAAAAGAAAAGCTTTTTTCATACATATTTTTATAGAGTCTGAGGTGGCGTACCTATTTAAATGGAATATTTTCCCCCTTGTTCCTCTCTTCTCTCTTTTTGTTTTATTTTATTTATTTATTTTTTCTTTGCCCTTCACATCTGAACTACTTGTTAATTTTGATTGTTCAGGCCCACATAAAATACATATTGTTCAGAAACGCATGTAAACTTATTACTATATAAACTTCAAATGTTCTGTAAAAATCTAAAGTTTGGTATTGAGATTTCTGCGCAGATGGCGGCCGGGTACATGAAGCAGGCGTGAGGGGAGTGTGGAGAAGCTGTGCTGTGAGCCTGGAGGCCAGAGTGGTTACCCAGGGTTACTTGTTTCTTTTTTTGCAAAGGGACTAGTGGAGGTTAAAATTCTCCCAGGCCCTTTCCTGGCTTCATCCCTGAATCTGCGTGCACAGTTACTCCCTCTATTTGCCTTAATCGCCTGCAGGTGGAGTTTTGAAGGGCAAGCGGGGGTGAGGGGGTGAGAAGGGTTCTCAGGCTTATCCCGAAAGAGTCTAGCTGTTGCCCCTGTTCATCAGCCTACTCGCTCGGTGTTTTCAGACAAGCAGCACAACGAGCTAGAAAGCCAGTCTTCTCCGTTGATGTCGGCTTCTTTCTGCATCTCTGCATCAAGACCACGGGCCCTGTGCAGACACATGCTTGTACTTATGGCTGAAAACAGGGACTTTTTGAACCTGTTTACAGGGCGTTGAAAATATTCATGCCGTGTGTGTGTGTGTGTGTGTGTGTGTGTGTGTTGTTTCTTCTTCTCCAGGGACTTTTCATGAATTAAAGTGTGTAACTCACAATTTGCAAGTATGGGACTGTTCCTGGAAAGCAGCAGGCCATGGTGCTGCCTATGAAGTTTGCGTTGAAAACAGGTAAGGGAACTCCTTTATCAGCTGCAACTGAAAGAATAAAAGGTTCTTGCTCTGTAATTTTAGAGCATAAAGATTGAATTTTGTAACTTCTTACATGAAATGTTAAATATTTCCCCTCTGTTTTCTGAAAAGTCTGAATCATATCATTCAGGATGAAACAAACCCTTCATTGGCCAAAACTTTGATTCATTTATTATATGAGGAGTCAGGAAGTAATGTGCTGTGTAGCAAGTGGGTCTCAAACCAGTGTCTCAGGATGTCAGTTAAGTTTAAATTCTGACTGTGCTAGCAAAAGTATCTGTACGTAAGCACTGACTTGCATGTAGACAGTCAGTTACAGGCTGCCACGGCTATTTATGACCACCTCTCAGCTGTGTTCCGGCTGGGTCCACTTTTTGAAGAGAATGCTTGGGGACTGTTGCGTCTGAATTCCAGAAAGTAGGAACGGAGGCAGAGTTTTTGTAAAGAAGCCTTCTGAGAAGTCCCACACAGCACCTCTGTTTCTGTCTCATTGGCCAGATGTAGTCAAGTGGCCAGACTGAGCTGCCAGAGGCTGGCCCTGTGTCCTCCTAGCTGGATGGTTGTGTGAGGTACCACACACGCAGATAAAATTTGGGTTGTTATTGAGCAAAAGGGGGAATGCAGGCCCTCCCTGGTGGTGCAGCAGGGTTAAGCACAGCACTAAGAAGCTAAAGCCACTTCTTCATGTGTTCCATCTCTGCCTTGGAGGTGACCCACATGGCGCGGCAGACCTCTCCTGACCCGCCCGCTGCTCCCCTCAGCAGTGTACTTCATCAGTAGGCCTGTTCTGCTCCCCACTCTGTCTCTGGTGAATCCTCTCACCAACCCTGCACCTCTGGCCTGTACCTCGGTTCTGTATGCACAAATAAATAAATCTTAAAAAAAAAAAAAGGCGGTGGTGTGGGGGATGGACATTAAGAGGGAGGCAGCTGTCCAGTAGTGCTGGTATAAATTGACAGGAAGTGTCTGCCGGCTCTCAGGTCTTCCCCAGCTGGCTAACATTTACTGGATTTTGTTGTAAGTGTCAACCCATGTATGAGTCATTGTGAGTTTGGTGCATTGCATAGACAACCTCCAAATCTTAGTTCCTTTCTTTCGGGTTGTGTTCCAAGCCAGTGCTCGGCTAGCTTGACTGTCACCTGCCCTATGGGGCCCCGGACTGAGGGCCCAGCCTGTGGCACAGCAGAGCGTGTGCATAGAGCGCAGACAGAGGCCAGCACTTCCGTGCAGAACAAGCAGATATACTAAAACACACTGCTGAGGGGGTGGGTGGGGGGGGGAGTGGTTGTGGTCTGCCACACAGTGTGGGTCAGCTCCCTGGCCAGGGATCGAACTCAAGCTGCAGTAGCTACAGACAGCTTCATACTGCTGCACTTAACCCATTGTGCCACGAGGTGCCCACTGTATGTTCTGTTAACCAGGTTTTTATAAAAACTGCACTATCATTTTATCGACTAAATAAAGTTCAACTTTTTATATTGCAGGCCACGTTCTTGTTACCAGTCGGAGAAAACAAACGTCAAGATCCCAGCTCTTCCACCTGGTGACCATGAAATAACGATAAAACATGGAAGTTCTATGAATAAATTCCTATTCAGTGAAAAAAACGTTTGTAAGTATTCAAAAGGAAAATTGATTTTAAAGTAATTCAGGAGAGTCTTTGTTAGTATTGTGGTGCTTTAAAGTTGGCAGAAATTTACCATTCTTTTGAGTTTGTTGTTACAATAATTCTTTCGTTTGCCCAGCAACCGTGCTGGTGAGCACGGCCAAGGTTAAGAAGGGAGCAAGCTGGTCCTCCAGTCTGTCCCAGTAGATGCCACAGGGGCAGGGGTCCTTCCCACAGTGGGGTCCTCCTGTCTTCCCCACTTGGCCTCATGGACTCCTGAGCCCCTTTCAGAATCTCAGATGCCCTCTGCTCTAGGGAGGAGAAGTATCTCTGGCTACCCTTCCCTAGAAAGGAGCCCCGTTCCATTCTTAACATTCCCATAGGCCATCTGTATTTCTCACGTTGCCTTCATAGGTGTTTACCGTGGCCTCCACAAGAAAAGTAGGTCTCACACGTTCAGGAACTTTGTCCTCTGCACGAGCACCCAGCCTGTGCCTGGCACGCAGGGGGCATCTTCTTTGCATGTGCCAATTGTTGGCAGGATATGAGACAAGTTGAGAGGAAGCGGGAGGCAAAGCAGGTGGATAGAGATGAAGATTTTGCTGTACAGCAGAATCTTAAATGCTCAGCAGTCTTGAGTCTTCCAATGCAAGTTTGTTGGCTCCTAACAGCTATCGACGGGGCATCATAATATTGTAATGACTGTTATGGGAATGACTCCTTTAAAGTAAAAGAAAGAAGATGCAATTACCTTGGTGATCTGTCCCATTTCATGGACAGGATGCATGCTTGTTGTCTGAGAACATTTTGAAAATACAACAAAGGGGCTCTGGAGGAACTTAGAAGCTATCCCATTTTCTGGCCAGAGTGTTGTCCAGTGAGTTAATACTTCAGGCCATCTTTCATGATAAAGGGAGCAGCCATGTGTGTTACTTTCCTTCTTAGTTTATGGAGATCCCTTGAAGATGTTTTGTTCTGATCAGCATGATCCAAATACCTACTGAAAAATTACTGTTAACTCTTAGATTTATTTTCTGTGCATATATATATAAACAATAAGACTCATATTACTGTATAGCCTGCGTAGCAGAAGACAGATTTTAAAGTTATCTAAAGAAATCTGTATCATCTTTATAGGCTGTAGAATATTCCACTAAATTTAGGTGCCGTAATTACCTTAAGGGATTGATTATTAACACTGAGATTTTTATTTCCAGTTTTAGTGTATAAATTTCTTAAAATAACCTGAAAAAAATAGATCTCACTGATGGGAGAGAGTAAAGAACAGTAGGGATCCTGGAAGAGAGCTGAGAGAAGTCCCATCTTTGCATGTTGTCAAGCAGAGAGCATGATGGTGAGGGGGAGAGATCTAACTTAAAAAAAAATAAGGCTTTGATATCATTTCTTTCTGAGACATTCCTATTTTCTAGAAAGCCAGTTAACCTTGGACTCAAGTATTTCTTTTAGCTAGAAAGAAATGCTGCTGGCAGTTCATGGGCACTTAGGAAAACTTCCCATGTATGCTGTGAAGTTAGAAGAAAGGGGGGAGTGACAGGGAGTTTAATCCTTTCATTTGTGACTACAGTTATTATTGTCTTCAACTTGAAATATTGTCTGCGGCTTGTGTTTTGAGGAGTAGCCCACTGCTGTTTAGATAAAATCTAAATAGTGTGGACTTTTCAGGGAGGCAAACATTTTAATGAATGAGTGTTGCCTCAGTAAAAGTAGTCCATTTTTCATCATTTCAAGTTACTTCGTGACATCTTGAAACATTTGAAGCAGAAACCACCTACTTGGAAGCCTTCACTCTGTGGTCACACGGTCACCTTCAACTTTCCCGCTCCTGACACTATAAATCAGCATCTTGCTCTTTGTTACTTTATTCTTTTTCTTTTTTTTTTTTAAAGCAATATCTCACCTAAAGCTTATCCTATGAAGTGTCCACCACTGTCTTCACATAACTCTGTAACTTCTGACTTTTAGTTTAGACCTTAAATCCACATTGCAGTTTCTTTTACAGCTCTGAGCAATTCACCAAAATCCAGTGTAGAGCACACACGGTCAGCAAATTTCAGTAAAACTTACAAGACCTTATTTTTACATTCCAGTGCGAACTGACTTGTCTTCCCCTTTGGCTGCTTTATGTCTCTGAGTTTGCTGTTGTTTGTCCATTTACACTCAGCAGGATTCCCTGGCTTCCGTGGCCATGACTCGGACTTGTCCCGTCTTCCCTCGGCCCTCTGCAGGTGTCTCCACTGACAGACGCTCCTCCCTGCCCACACAGCCAGGCTTCTGCATCTCTTCACAGTGGCCTCTCATTTCTTTTTGCTTTTTTTCTGCTGCTCTCCAGGCCAGAAATAAGGAACTCGTGTGTTTTTCCGTTTTCATTACACTAAACCTTCATGCCTGATTTTGTCCTTTGTCTCCCATGTACGAAGTCGTGATCTGTGTCCTGCTCACTCTGGCCAGATTTTCCATAGCACCCTCCGACTTGATGGCCTGATATCTTGACTTGGTGCGGCTGCCCTGTGCCCACCACCGTGGCACTCGCCTTCCTCAGGTCTGCGCCATCCCTCAGGGCGGTCCCTGAGCTCCTGCCTGCTGCCTTCCTGCTCAGCCGTAGGCCTGGGCCGCTCCTGTTGCCGTCCCTGACGTGTGTGACCGGTGCCTCCCTCATCACCCCTCACGTGGGTGACATTACACCCCCGAGCACGAAGGGGGTCTGACAGGAGGGATGGAAAGGAAAGGCTGTAGAGCAACACAGAAAACTTGATCACAGCGGCGTCTCCGCAACTGCTGTCTTAGCCTTGCTTAAGAGTGGAAACTTCCATTCCACTCTGATATCACCTGCATGCGGGACCTGGAGGACCTGGCTGTCCCCTTGCTGTTTGTCTTAGAAGATGGATTATGGCTTTGAAACAACCGGCTGATGAAGTACTTTTCTCACATTTTCTGATGAATCCCTGGGAGCCGCTTATACAAATGAGTGTTTATAGTCTCTTGATTCAGTAACAGGTTTCAGAGTTTGTTTTCAGTATTTGCTATTTTTTGATCAAGAGGGAATGGAATTTAAAATCAGGTGATTCGCGGAGTCACAATAGAAAAACTTATTACTGAATTTACTAAGTGTTATCTTTTATTTTCGTTTTTGAAGACTTCATTCCGGATACTCCAGAGATCTTGAATTTGTCTGCTGATTTCCCAACTTCCACGTTACACCTAAAGTGGAATGACAAAGGTTCTGCTTATCTACACCCCTCAAACATCATCTGGGAAATTAAAATTCTACATAAAGAAAAAATGGAAGTCATTAAACTAGTAAGTTTAAACAAAAGCAGATTTTTGTCCTATAGCATAAAATGAATAACTTTTGTAAAGAAAAATTTAAGGTAGCATCATTGAATCAGAGTTATTAAGGACATAAGTCAGACAGCCTTTCAAAGTTCATTAAAAACTATATGCTATGACTCAAAAGCCACTTTATTACTAATGTGTAATCACTCTAGGAAGTCATACTATCACTCACACAGTAAATTTTTCTATGCATTTTTTGCATATATGAAATAAAAGTATACATATATATATATATACTTGTTTTTTAAAAGATTTATTTATTCATGCAGAGAGAACTGAACTACAGGCCAGAGGCTCAGGGGCTCTAAGAGGCGTCACCAGAGACAGAGTGGGGAGCAGAACAGGCAGGTGGACGAAGCACACGGCTGAGGGGAGCAGTGGGCGGGTCAGGAGAGGTCTGCCTCACTGTGTGGGTCACCTCCGGGGTAGGCAGTGTTTGAACTCATGCTGAAGTGGCTTTAGCTTCTTAGTGTTGTGCTTTAACCCACTGCGCCACAGGGAGGCCTCCCATATACATACTTTTATATAATTTAGTTTACTATATTTTATCTAACTACTATTATAAACATTAAACATAAAAATAAACATATTTAGCCATAATAACCTCTGAGGAATTCTGTATAATTCTGTGTTTCAGTTTGTTTACATCTGAGAAAAAGTGCTCTTATATTTACTACACCCTATTTTCCCTCTCATTTTTTAAATCCTGCTTATGAGTGGCTTCTTCATGCTTTCTCTTTGGTTAGCTTTTTGTCCTAAGGGACAACGAGTGATAGTAATAAAAAGTTTAAACAGTAAGTGGTAACTAATTACCCCTGTCTTTTACTTTACTTCCCCTTAGTGGATTTGAGATAGGTTAACAGATTTAAGAATTACGAGGACTAGCTCATGGTTTTACAATTTATTTGCATAGGCTCAAAGATAAGATAGTAAATGTTATACATAGAATTATTCTGTACTTCATAGCTTCCGTCTTACGTTTCTTTTTGATAACTTACATCTTACATTCTGAAAGCAATCACAGCTGTTGCATTGGCATAGACGGGGCTGCACCATTCCCGACGCTGTTGGAAAGCTCCCCAGTTCATTCTTTGCACTGTCAAAGTAACAGGTCCCATGAGCAGGCAACATTCTCCTGCCATTTTACAGATAAAGGTAGAGTCACAGGCAGACTTCACGTGGTGGAGCCAGGACTGGGGCCCAGGCTGCTGCTTCCAACACACACACGCACACGTTTCCGCTCTTTATCCTCTGTTCCTGTTGCATGCAGTATAGACACTGCCCACAGCTGAACCATGTAGTGTATCCTTTTCTTACTTTATTTTCTCTCTCTCTCTCTCTCGTTCTTTTTTTTTAGCTTTATTTATTCGATCCAGAATTCTCTGTAAGTAGTTTAAATCTCATGCCAGAATGTTGAAATATAATCGGTCTTTTATCTTTGTGACAAAATCTGAGGAGTCTTTTCTGACTCACTGCCCAACTCTTATAAGGCCTCTTGTGGATCCTGACAAATTTGGGCAGTATACAATGTAGTAAATAGCTGGGGATTCTTGGGCCAGACATGTCTCAGGAGCTCCAGTATCTTCAGCTCCAGCGATCTATCCCAAGACTTCAAGGGATTAATACCTAAGTATCCCTGTAACTCTTTTGAGAAAAACTTTGGCATCTTTTGGCACATTTATTAGGAAGCTATGTTCAAGAGGTTCACGTTACTGAACAGTATTCTGTTCACACATTTCTTGTAATGGGTCCTCTTTTTCCTAAATTCCCTGACTTTTACTTCATCATTTTATTGAGAGTAGATACTCTATTAGTCATTTGCTGAGTATTGTAAAAAGTCTCCTATCAACAATAGTTAGCTTATAGAGTTTATTTAAAATATTTAAATTAATAAGAAGACATTAAAAAGATTGTCACATGAAGTTATTGAGAAGATGAAGAACATTTGGAGCTTCATATACTACTAGTAAGAATATAAAGTACTTCTTTAAATACATTGAAACAACATTTCCTAAAATAATATTATTCTGTATTCATTCATGATTCCTAGTTAGACTGGTGTAGAACTCTTGGCTAGGAAACTTTCTCACATTTTGAAGGCATTATGCTATTTCTTTAAGAAAAAAATAGACTAATATTTATGCATACAGAACTGGGGTGCAGACCAGAGGGCCAGAGTTGCAGGGGCAGTGAGAGGATTCACCAGAGACAGAGTGGGGAGCAGAACAGGCAGGTCAACTAAGTACATTGCTGAGGGGAGCAGCAGGTGAGACAGGAGAGGTCTGCCACTTGTTTTCTTTATGTGGATTTAACTTCATCTCTTCTACTAGATAGTTGGTGGGTCTCTTTCATTTTGAAAACATTACTCAAGGTGAGAAATTTTCTTATTTTTCTGATTTGCTCCTCTCCGTTTTCTCCCTTTTTTTCTTAGTAACTCTGTTACTAGAAATTGCACCTTCCATATATACTGGTTCTTTTTCTTATCTTTCCTATTTTCCTTTTTTTTTTTAGTCTGTTTTCTGAGAAATTTTCCTAAACTTTATCTTTCAGTGCTGCTACTGAACTTCTGTCAACATATTTTGATTTACACTAGATCCCATTTTTGTCCTGTATTTTTAAAAAACATGTCCTGTTCTTGTTTCAAAGTTGCAGTATCCTTTCTTATATCCGAGGGTGTTGATGTTTTAAAAATTTTTTCCCCTGTGTAATCTGTTTCTTAGGTTGTTGTCTTATTTCCTTTAACTCAACCTCTGGATTCATATTAGCAGATTTTCTCCACTTTCTGGTCATCCTGGTTGCATGAGTAGATCTTTAAAAAAAAATTGAATTAGACATTCATTTGCCTAGATAATAGTTGTTGATTGGGTTTTCATTACAGGGTGATGGTGCTTGATTACCTACTTGAAAAACTCTTTATTATTTATTTATTTATTTATTTATTTATTTATTTATTTATTTATTTATTTTTTTATCTTAACCTTTCCCTGTGCCCAGAAAAGTTGATGAACTTGCTAGTCAGTAATTTGGGAGCTGAGCAGGCAAAGAAAGAAACTTTTAGAAAGGGTAGGGCAGCAACACATATTGTTGCTCTCATATTTAGCATTCACGATTCTTTTCAGATTGCACATATGTATTAAAATCCAGAGGTATTTGGGCCCTCCCTGGTGGCGCAGTGGGTTAAAGCACTGCACTAAGACGCTAAACCCACTTCCGCATGAGTTCGATCCCCGCCTGCCACCGGAGGTGACCACATGGCACGGCAGACCTCCCCTGACCCGCCCGCTGCTCCCCTCAGCAGTGTACTTCATCGATCTTTCTGTTCTTCTCCCCACTCTGTCCCTGGTGAATCCTTTCACCCTCTGCATCTCTGGCCTGTACCCCAATTCTGTATGAACAAATAAATAAATCTTTAAAAAAAAATCCAGAGGTATTTTATTTTTCCAGAACATAAGTAATCCAGAGAAGTATTCTGCTAAAATGAAAAAGAATAGTGACTTGATAGCCAGGTTTAATAGGGCATGCGGGTATCCAGTTTACCTTCAGACAAATTCAGTCCTCCCATTTGCACTTTCACTGGCTCTTTCCAGAACCTGGCACAGCTGCCTGCTGAGTCCTTTGACATTGCTGTGGTAGGAGTCAGGCTGCTTCCGGAAACTCCCTGAGATTTTCTAAGGTCTTCTAAGTTAATCACCATTGTCCACCTGTGTGTAGCTTCTAAAATGTTACTGTTAGTGTTCCTTTGCTAATTTTTTTTTTAAGGTTTATTTTTATTTACTTGTGCATACAGAACTGTGGTACAGGCCGGCGGCTCAGGGGAGGCGAGAGGCTTCACCAGAGACAGAGCGGGGAGCAGAACAGGCAGATCTACGAAGCACACTGCTGAGGGGAGCAGCGGGCGGGTCGGGAGAGGTCTGCCTCGCCCTGTGGATCTCCTCTGGGGCCGACGGGAATCGAACTCACATGGAAGTGGCTTAAGCTTCTCAGTGCTGTGCTTTAACCCGCTGTGCCACCAGGGAGGGCCCTTCTCTTATTTTTTTATCCCTGTCTATCTAGTGTGTTAGAGGGATTCCAGGAGGTGAGAGGGAAGGAGATATGTGTATTTAAGCTGTTGTCTTAGAACATATATCTCAAGGTCTCTTTGGCAGATCCATAATATTGTGTTGAAATTCAATGTCCATTTCTCACAATCTAAATAAATATGTTATACTATAATCTGCATACTTAAAAGAAAAAATTGAAGTTTATATAATAGTTAAATTTAAAAAGAAGTTCAAAGCATAATTAATTTTGTTCAGACACCCCTCGCTCTTACTTGACTGCTTTAGAGGTACAAGTCATTAATCCTTTTCTCCATGAAAATGGAAATCAGGGGCCCTCCCTGGTGGCGCTGCTGGTTAAAGCACAGCACAAAGAAGCTTAAGCCACTTCTGCATGAGTTTGATCCCTGCCCCAGAGGTGATCCACATGGCGCAGCAGACCTCTCCTGACCCGCTCACTGCTCCCCTCAGCAGTGTAGTTCGTCAATCTGCCTGTTCTGCTCCTGACTCTGTCTCACCCTCCACATCTCTGGCCTATACCCCAGTTCTGTATGAATAAATAAATAAATCTTTTAAAAAAAAGGAAAGTGGAAAATCAGTAGGCAATGGTACATTTTCTTCTGAGCTGCGTTGACTATTGTGAAGCAACAACATCTTGTATAGTAACGAAGTAGAGTCTAAAGTTGAAGAAAGTAAATATGATCAGATCGCGAATAATACTATTACTCTCCTGTGGTGCCTCATGCAAAACTGTGAGGTCCTTGTACAAAAAAAAAAACACACCTTTAGCTCACTTAGCTGATGATTGATTGTGTGTGGCCTATTGTGTTTTTGTTTTTGTTTTAATTTTAAAAGAAAGCAAAACATATCACGACTTGGAAATAAAAATCTTTGTCTGTGTTCAATTTTTAGATGACCCACAACACAACTCTGACAGGGAAAGACACAGTTCACCACTGGAGCTGGACCTCGGAGCTGCCCTTGGAGTGTGCCACCCACTACGTGGGGATTAGGTGCTATGTTGACGATCGTCATTTCTCTGGTCATAAACAGTGGAGTCACTGGAGCCCACTGAAGAACGTTTCCTGTGAGTTTTTACTTAAAGTGAACTTTCGTCTCAAGTGAATTAGATTAGCCTTTCTTAAGGGTGATACTTAGCTTCAGCTTTCAGTTCTCTGAATTCCATGACCATTTGAAGATCACCTGTTGATCCTCTAAGGTTCCCCCACCCCAGAGGATTTTAACTTTAGGTGTGTGACAGGCCTCAGGAATTGGGATTTTTAAAGAACTTCCTGAGTGATTGAATAAATATGCAGGTGTGAAAACCGCTATGGTAGGTAGGCACTGAAAAACATTTAAAGGTTGTAGGTCAGTGGTAACAAGTTGAGGTCTGTATTTTTACAAAATGGTCTGCAGTTTCTTACCCACAGAGCAGACCCTTGTGGATATTTTCAGTTATTGCTGAGCGCATGGGACGCTGCACAGGCACCAGAATTCACTTGGACCTTTAATAAAACTCATGTGCTGCTACAATGCTGGCAGTGTGAGGGGAGCCTGGAAAATTGTTGACAGTTAAACGAAGTCCTCAGAAAGTCTGGTAATCATGTAGATAATCGACTCCAGTGATAATATGGGAGAAATGAATCCGAGAAAGGAAGGACTGGAAGCAGGTCAATAAATAAAGAGAATCTTGTGGAAGTTGGGCAAAAGCCAATGAAGTCAGGTTTATAAATGAAATGGGGAGGAAGGTATGAAAACACCAAAGAGACAGAATTAGAACTAGTGACTGTATTTGGTGTGTGAGAATTTAAGCCAAAGCACAGTTTGAGAAGCTGGGTAGTTGCCAATGCAACTAAGACAGAAAATATATGAGCAAATTAGGTGGGAAAGATGATTTTCCTTTTTAATATGTTGAACTTGAGGTATTTATGAAGTGTCTGGGTAGTGATGCCTAGTCGGCAGTTAGAAATACAGGTTTGGCATCCAAGTGAGTAGTTGGACTAAAGCTATGCATTGAGTATTATTGACATTGTGTGATATGCAAAGAAAACAGTATCCAAGGACTGAGAAATTATAGGCGTTGGAACCCAGGAGAGAATGGAGTTTTGAGAAGAAGGCTGCAGGCAGCCAGAGGGAAGGGTCACTGAGAGGCGCCTGAGTGGTTAGACTAGAGAGAAGCCAGCTAGCAATGAATAGTAACTAGGTTGAGAGAAGGCAAGAGGTAATAAAAAAAGAGACGCTATTTAGGAGAGCAAGCCAAGGTGTGCCTTTAATCAGCAGAGATTAGGGATAAAAAAAGATTGCTTTTTAAGATGTGCACTACTTAAATGTATGTTAGGCCAAAGGAAAAAAGAGTTTCCCTAATATTTAGACTCAATTCAAAGATACGGAATGATGTAATGAGTAATATTTTGTGTGTGAATTTTTCACATATGAATTTAACCCATTTAATTTGAACCTTGGAACTTCTTAGCCCTCAGCCCAGGACCTTAGATACTGGCTTCCGATTTTCCCTCTGCTCCCCGACCATCTCCTATCTTCAGTAAATAGACGACCCACATTTTTTTTTTTTTTTTTAGATTTAACATTATTTACTATTTACATATCAAAGAATTGATACACGTTTTTAGAAAACAGTGTTGACAGTTGTGTTTGTCAAAGGCTGTGGCAATGTTTCCTTTTTTGTTGTTTTTTATTTACTTTTTTATTATTTTTTTTTATTAAAAAGTTTATTTTTACATCATTTTGCACATTTTTTTTTCATCTCAATTGTAATCCCCACGGGTTTCCCATCACCAAATCACCCCTGTGCCACCACCATAG